AAGAGAGATAACCAGTCGGAGGGATTGTAAGAGCTACTCAAGGGTCTGAGGAGAGCTGACGATCATCAAGTTCACATTACTGTTCCTGTGTCTGTGATGAGTGAGAAGATGAATGATGATGTCGAGAAACTCGTCTCCAGCTTCATCAAAGACCTAACTGAACAGATGGAAAAGGATCTGAATGAGGAGGACTGTGGAGGACCAGAACCTGCCGAGAACTCTCAAGATCCAGAATGTACATTTACAACATTTACAACCTTGAATACCAGGTGGGCTACCAATGACATGAATTCACTTCTCTGAACGCCAAGCTGATGAACAATGATGATGATTTAAAAACGTCCTGGACAGAAATTTCGTTGCCCTGTGTGTGTAAAATTTTAACATAAGAAAGAAATCTGAATATACACATGAGAAATCATACAGGAGTAAAACCTTTCAGCTGCTCTTTGTGCAGTAAAAGCTTTACTCAAAAGCAGGTTTGGGACTACCACTTAAAAACTCAAGAAGGAGAGAAAACCATTCAAGTTGCTCATTTTGTGGTAAAAGTTTTGGCCAAAGGCAACTCTACGAGCCATTCCTAACGTGTCATATCAGGAGAAAAAACCCTACAGCTGCTCCTATTTGTGATCAAAGTTTTGCGATGTGACTTTTACAGGCACACATGAGAACGCACACAGGGGAGAAACCGTTCAGCTGCAACGTTTGTGAACAAAAGAATTCACAAGGAATATCAGTTAAAATACACAAGTGTGGAGGTGAGTCTTCGCGGCTTCAACGAACTCTGGACGAGTCGGAGGGAGAGCAGCTTAAGGGTTCGCCATTCATCCTGTGTCTGTGAAGAGTGAAGGTGATGACGAAGAAGAAACTCAGTCCTCACCAGCTTCATCAAAGACTAACTGAACAGATGAAAGCAGAAGCTCATGGAGAGGACTGTGGAGGAACCAGAACCAGCCAGAAACTCAGACCCAGGTAGTCCTTGAGTCACATGGGCTACGTGTAACTCATTCCATCTGGACAGTTCTGGTGATGTCATCCAGTTGTTGGTCTTTGGCTTAAGTGGGATTTACAAGTAAAATACCAAACGAGGGAAAACAGTTTTTTGCTGAGTTTCAGGTTTGTGGTTAAGGGATTTGGTCGTCAGGTTAATTAAGCCAGTAATTAGTCGTCTTCTGGTCGCTGAATAATAGGGATGTCATGATACAATTAACTCACTATTCTCTTTTTTTTTTTTTTTTTTTTTTTTTTTTTTACAATTTCCTCAGTCAAAAAATCTACAAAATACATTTTCTTTGTTTCTTTATCAACTTAAAGAATCCTGTCTTTATTTCTGAGAGTAAACTGAAGAACAATGTATAATTATTTTCTTTGTAAAAGTGATGATGTCTCTGTGCCTTGTTGCAGCTACTGACATGAGTGACGTCGGACATTCCTAGTAAATAATCATCAGGAATATTAGCAGGGCAGCTCGTAGGTCAGTCAGATAATTTAGCAGGAACAGTTTGACTATTTAGTTTGTGATGCTGCCGCAAGTGTGAAATACTTAAAAATGTACTCTGTTGTACTCTCTCTTTCAGAGATGGGCAGTATTTTAAATAAATGTATTTAAAACAAGTATTTAATTACTTTTGTGTACTTTGTCACAAAATACTTAAAGAGCTTGTATTTGAAATATTAAAATACATTATATAATACGTCATTCTATTCTCACATAAGACACATTTTCATCTCCAGGTTTAAAAAAAAAAAA